TATATATATATATATATATTTATATATATATTTATATGTCAATTTGTGCTTATAATCTTTTGTGAGTATTGAAGAGGTAACACTCAGAGACCATTGTTTTTAAAAGTAAATTATTTTAGAAGAATAGAATGTTTTGCTTCTATCTAAAAAAATTCAAAGAAAGCAGAGCACACCCTCAAAGATGCATCTTGACATAAATCCTTTAGGTATCACAACTGAAATACTTTTATTCAAAGGCCACAAAGATTTTATCATCCCAAGAATAAAACGTGTCCAATTACACCACCTTCTGATATCCTCATTTTTAAGCCACCTGGGAAGTATAGTAATAATGGCAATGTGTGTAACCACTATCCCTTCTTGGCACTGTGTTACTCTAAAAGATCTAATACTTCATTCTAGACAAGTGTAGGCAAGTTGATCCTGGTTTTTCTTTTAAATTGAGCTACCCACCTCTATTTAAATGCTGTTCCATAAAGAAAGGAGACTATTATAGTGCTTAAAAATAGGGGCTCTTGGGTGTGGATACATCGGGATTCACTGAAGTTTTGTAGATTTTGAAATTCTCAAAATAAAAAGGGAGAGAGAAGAGTTAAAGGAAGAAAGAAAAGGAGAGGTAGAGGGAGAGAATGGGATTTCAAGTCAAACAAAGCTGGGTTTAATCTTAGGTCTGTAACTTACTAGCAGTGCGATCTTGGGAAACCTCAGTTCCTCATCCATAAAATCGGGGTAATAACAGTTGCTGTTTTATGGAATTGTTAAGGAGATTTGAATGACATAATATATATAAAGCACTTGACAGAATGCCTCACATGCAGAAAGTTATCAAACCGTTAACTATTCTATATATTATTTTTATTGTAATCAAGTAAGTCAATGAGTTTACAGCTTAGTCTTAAGGCTTAGTCTATTTAGTAATAAATTCAGTTCTTCAACGACATGACATAATCTTTGCAAAACTAACAAAAACTACTGAGATCAAATACATAGTTTTCAGTAAATATTTTCTGTAGTTTTAGCTTCTTGTAAGGCAGTAAGAACATAGACTAAAGAGCCAGGGTGCCTAGGTTTGATCCTAAGTCTGCCCCTTGCTAGTTGTGTGATGTAAACCTAGTATTTCTCTGTGTGTTAGTTTCTGTCTGTGACCTGGGGATGACAGTGGGGATGTTGCAAGGATTAAGTGAATTAATATATGTAAACTGCTTAGAACAGTGCCTGGCACTTAGTAAGTGCTACGTTAATGTTAATATGGATTTAGTTTTTTTTTTTTTTCCTTTTTGTCTTTTTTACTGACCGGCAACGGGATCGCAACCCTCGATGTTGCGCCCACACCGCGCTCAGCCAGTGAGCGGGAACCGGTCTCCACATGGGATCCGAACCCTCAGCGGGAGCGCCGCCGCGCTCCCAAGCGGCGCACTCTCCAGTGTGCCACCGGGCCGGCCCTGGATTTAGTTTTTAATAATTCTCACTGAGAAACTGTTTACCACCCCAGAATTGGCCATTATTGAGCCCAGCTACTCACTAGAGTAACTAGACTAGAAGATATAATTTCAAAACTTGTGAGCTATAAATCTGAACTAAACCCTTACCTTCCTACTCCTTAGTTCCCTATAGACACAATCTTGGTCATCTACCTGCAGATTCTACATATCAGAGCTTACTATAATTTCAAAACTTGTGAGCTATAAATCTGAACTAAACCCTTACCTTCCTACTCCTCAGTTCCCTATAGACACAATCTTGGTCATCTACCTGCAGATTCTACATATCAGAGCTTACTATTTGCTAAGTTACTGGCAAAATCTAAAGACATGACAGCTATATTTATCTGTGTGTGTGTGTGTGTGTGTGTGTGTGTGTGTTATGTGCATGTGGGCGCACATGTACACGCATGCACTGAAGTTTAGAGTGAAGACCTCTAAGCAGTGGGAATGTTATGTTTTTTCTAATCTTCTGCCATGCACAGGTATTGTTTCTAAAATAATAAAAGTTTGTCTTAAAATTAAGAAATAAAAGAAACACGCCTCATATTTGTATAAGAGGGGAAAAAACGCCACAAACTCCATACCTGTATTTATGAATGATGGCATTAAATAGTTTTCCATCTCTCCAGCAGGTAGTGAAATTTTCACACCGTATTCCAGCATAACCCTCTGTTGCCTGCTGTGTCCACAGTAACAATCTCTCTTTAGCAGACATATCCTCTGACTCTCCAGTAACATGGATATCAGATATCTAAATATAACAGAAAGTGTTAAGCCATTAGGAAGGAAGAAAGCTAACTCAGATTAAGAACCTACTATGTGCCAAACCTTTACAAGTGCTAATTACTTACTCTCATAACTCTCACTTATAAGCTAAATATACTTTCCCCATTTTACATAAAGAAAAACTGAGTTTCAAAGATGTTAACAACAGACTGAAAAAGTCAGATTTAACCCATTTGTGTCCAATTTAAAAGCATCTGATTTATTTTTGCTATACCAAAACTTCACAGCATTAAAAATTCTACATTCGTCTTTACTAATCAGATCTGTTAAAACAACTTAAACATTTTTCCAAGTTCAAATGGATCAGAAGCAAAATTTGTTAGTTACTCCACACTACCACCTGCAGAACAGAATTTGATCCAACAGGTATTCTGTGTAAGGCACAAAGAAAGAAATAGTACCGTCTCTTATTAACTATATTATATAACGATTTGGTTGAAAGTCTCCGATTTTCTCATGAGTCATTACTCGGCTTGCTCAACATGAAACCTTTATCGACTGATTTTCCCCCTGGCTCTTTATGCATTTTCATTAAGTTTTTTAAAAGTCTCTTCCAGTGAATAATAAAAAAAACAGGTCACCAGTTTCCAGGATTTACATTTTCCCAAGAGGGCCTCTTTGATAAAGGTCCTACTTAATCTGCTGATAATTACGTTAAGGCACAAAGTGACTTTACCAGAGGTCACACAGTAATTCCAAAGCTGGGATTAATACCAACAAACAACTGTTCCCTCAATCAGTGCAGGATGCAAAGCCAAGTGACCAACAAGACAGGCGGCAAGCCAGAACCAAGATGAGCAAGTAAGAGATGGAAGCAAGACATGGGGAGGTGCAAATCATTCTGTAACAGGAAAAAACCCTAGAGTCGAGTCACGAGATAGGCTTTGAGCTCTGGCCACACGTCCCATAGCTTTAGATAATTCATCTCATGTCTGTGAGTCAACTTCCTCAGCCATAAAATGAGGAGGTAGGAGGCAGAAGCAGATAATGTTGAAGGCCCTTTTCAGTTTAAAGTCTTACTAAGAGACTATAAATATGACACAGAACTCAGAGGTCAAAATAGGTAGAGTCAAACCACTGAAAGAGGAGAATAAAAATTCTCTAGACGTCAGAGGCTTTTACACGTGGCAGTGCTGGGCTCAAACAGGAAGTGCTTTATTCCTCCCAGCGCCACAAGAGCCAGAGAGGCTGGGACAGCCCAGGGACCTGGAGCAGGAAGGCTGCGGCAGTCCAAGCCCTCGCCAGGCCTGGCAGGGGCTCGCACACTCTCTTTCCAGGCTTCAGCAGAGGCTGTAGTGCCCCGTGGAGCTCCACTTGCAGCCACAGTATGAGACACTCTTCTTAACAAATGGCCAGGATTTGAAAGTGGAGCAAAGCATCACAATTTTAATCACCTTTCCTAGGAATCTATGCTAATCTCATAGCACGGGAAAGAACTGGGTGCATGAACAGCTTATATAGTATATATAGGAGGGGTTTCTTTTTTTCATATAGGAAAGAAAGCAGAAAAACCACCAATATTCTTCTGCCCAACTTCCAATGATATTCTGGTCTAAAATTATGCTAGAGTACCTTTCTGGCACCCTTTCTGGCATGAGTATAAATCTCATCTCCACCTATTACATGCTCAATTTGCTTAACTGCTTAAGACCATTCCCTCACTTGTAAAATAACAATGATAATAATTACTACACTGTGTTGTGAGAATTCAACAACATTAGCACAGTGTAATAACACCTGGCACACAGTAAGCACATTCTCAATACAGGTTTGCTGTTTTATTGTTGTGGCTATTATTATTTTTTTGAAAAAAGGAGAAGCAAAAACTTGGCTTCGTTATTCTCCCAATTATTTTCTTATAAAATAAGTAAAAGATAAAGTTTTAAAATCTGCCCTCAAACTAATTAAAATCTATGAAAACAAGGGTTCGGAGAAACTAACTTAGAATGAAAAAGTTGAGCTTCTAGGTAAAATTTCACAAGTCCCTACAAGCCTTTACAAATTATAAAATCAATTGCTTCAGGGAACCCTTACAATGCTGGAGCTATGTGGGTGGTATTTATAGCAAAATAATGAAAAGGGAAATAGTGGGGGAGAGGGAGGACTGTTTTCTGCTGATTCAAGGACATTCCACGCCAGTCTTATTACAAAAGTAATTACCTATTAACTAGGGAAGTCAATAAATTTCAACTACAAGGTACCAGTTTAATAGGTTTGAGTGCTACACAGCATTTTACCAGGGGAAGGGTGTTAGAGGAAAAGTTAAGAGGTCTGAAAATGATCTAAATATCAACCAAGAGAAAACAATGTATTTGTATTAAATAAGTTTCCCATAGATGAATTTCAGATTGTTACCTACATACACACTATTTCAGACTGTTACACATGCACACACTATTTAAAAAGCTATATAATTTGTAAAAGCATATTCAAATATGAGAGGTCTTTAAAAAGTTCATGAAAGGATTTGTATTATCTTTTAATTCAGATTTTCCACAAACTTTTTGAAGTGCCCTCCTATGTTATGAGCCAAGGTTTAACATATATCAAACACTAACTAATATATTAACTCGTTTTCAGTTTCTCCTGCTATTCCCAATTCCACCATCCTCTCGTGAGAATTTAAGGTATTTATAAAAATATACTGTTAACCATTAGCAACTGGCTATCTGAGTACATCAGATTTTTCATGACACAGTGTAACCAAAACTAGAAAGAAAAATAAATTAAATGCTAAAATTTGTAAGTCTGCAGTTGTCATTCATAACCCCTGATTTAAAATCTGTGTGGCAGGTCAATGATAGTTCCACATTCAGGTCAGATTCTAGTAAGTAATCAAGACACCTCCTTTCAAAACCTGGAGGCAATACAGTGATGATCAAAGAGGGTTTCAATTCATGCTGCCTAGGTTTAAAGCTCAACTTCAACAGTTAACAAGATGAAGGGCCTATGCTGTTTTCATAAAATCTCTCCAAAATTCATTTTCCTCATCTTTTAAATTTCATAATGATATAACAATGTCTACCTCCTTGTGTGGTTCTAAAGATTAGATTAAATAGTCACATCAAGTGCTTAGTACAGTGTCTGGCACATAGAAAACTCTATGTTAGCTTCTCCCACCACAATTATGTTAGCATTTGCTGCTTAGAGCTTCTCACCAACAATCTGTCAGCTAGCATAAAAACAAACAAAATACTTTATACCAGAGATCCTTTTGGAAACTTGAAGCCCTCATGCGTGACGTCCAAGTCATTGTTGGCTACCACCCAAATTCAAGTTCTTCCTGTCACTGAGCCTCCCATGCCCATATTTCATTTGTGCTTCATCTTTCCTGACCCGCTTGCCACCATTCCCAAACTTTCCAGAAATATCCACTCCATGGTAAACAAAGTCTCTTGCATCTCTAATACCTTACACCACTTATACCTTTTTACTGAGCCCAACATCTCCCCCACTACATTAACTCAAATTCAGATTCCACTGGGCCAACAGGCAACAGATATATTCTAACTCCCCAATGATGCAAACTCAGTGGTTTTCAAACCATTATCTGGGGTACAAAGACCTCATTTTTTACACTGTAGGCCACTCTTGTTCTACTACCTTTTTCTTCTCCTCAAAAATAATCCCCACATCTCCCCAAAGGTTGGACACCTGGCTCTATACCTACCCCAAACCCTGTCGCCATCCAGCACCCCTTTCTCATGGTCTCCTCTCCACTTCAGCCACTCACACACATTCACCCTGGATCTCATCACATTGAACTAGCACTAGTCCCCCTCAGATATTTAACTTTTGACAGCAATTTCTTGTTCTTCCAACACTCTCATTCTCCAACTCTAGCTAAACAAATTATCTGGCTTCATCAACATCTCACATTCCCTGACTTGCCCAATTTTGTTTCAATCTATGAGCTGTAGGGGAGAAAAACAATTTTTTCTTCAACCTTTGTAAGTTCTTAGTTGGAACAGATCCCTATAACAGAAGACATTAACAAGAGAAAAACAAACAGAGGTTTATTAACAAGTATATTTCATATACATATGGGAGACAAGAAGGACTGTGGGAGATCAGAATATGCCACCCCAAAATACAAAGGGGTGCTGAGCTGAAGATAAGAAGCAGATGCAGAAAAGCCCTCTGCCCTTGCTCTGCTTGACTAAAAGCAGGACGTAGATTTACAAAGACAAAAGGTATCTTGCCTCTCCTCTTTCCCAGAGAGAGCAAAGGTTAACCACTGAAGAGAACTTTAGACCCTTGTGGGCCTGGAGATGGTACCAGAGGAATATATGTAACAAACTTTACTAATTTGCCTTTATCTGCCATTTTTTTTGCCTTCCCACAAGTTGCCAAAATCCTTTGGAGACTCAAAATCCTTTCCCTTTGTTACAAAGGTTAACCACTGAAGAGAACTTTAGACCCTTGTGGGCCTGGAGATGGTACCAGAGGAATATATGTAACAAACTTTACTAACTTGCCTTTATCTGCCATTTTTTTGCCTTCCCACAAGTTGCCAAAATCCTTTGGAGACTCAAAATCCTTTCCCTTTGTTTTCTCACTTCTCTAATAATTTACTGTTCTTTGTTGAAGATGCTATATAAGCCAGAATTCAGATTCATTCCCTAGGTGTCTCCCATGTATATGTTAAATATACATATTAATAAACTGTTTTTCTCTTGATTATCTGTCTTTGTTACAGGGGTCTGTTCCAACAAAGAACTTACAAGGATTGAACAAAATATTATTTTTCTTTTCCTAAAGAGCCCTCTTCTATTTTATGTCCTTCTCTATCTGTCTTTATTACATGATCCATCACTTCACCTACTTAACTCCCTCACATCCTTGTCTTTACCATGCAACCAATCAACCAAGCTTCAGTCTTGATCAATCCAATTGTATGTCTTTTCTGCTCTCACCCTAAGCTATAAAGTTCTACTCAAGAAAAACATACTACCAAGTGAACTT